CGGAGGACACATCGAAGTCAGAGAACACAGTAAAGTAGATAATGTCTCATTGATAAGGTCAGGTAGGTTTGTATGGAGAAAGTGGCAGCGAACAACGGGGGGAGAACCATCCCTTTGAATGTGAAACTTGGGTCCAGTCGGAAGGTGCATTGTACATAGAACCGTTTGTCATCATCATTTTACTCTTATTTGTTGGTTTCACTAAACTGTCAGTAATTATTTGTCCTGCTGGCCTGTGCCTGTAAATGGCATGGAAATGCTGACAGTCTGCCAAAGCCGAGCTGCCTGGAAAGTCCTGCCGCCTGGGTCTTCTAAACATTGTACGGTGCTTTGTCAGAATTAGAGATGCCCACCTGCACTTACTGCTGCAGCGCTTTGCTGGTCTGGACATTTATATTCTCTAGTCATCTAGTCCCATGGGCTTTTTGAAAATTAATTTAGTAGTGGTTTTCTGTTAGTGGAATTGACTGGTCATGTGGGTCTTCCAGGTTTTTTTTTTTTTCTCAGTCAGGCCTAGTACAGCATGTTACTGGCAGACATTACGAGACCCAGATACACACCGTAGCTGTTTATTTGTCGTTCATTCTCATTTCCTCTTGAAAGTTAAAGACATTCCACTGGGACGTTGTATTTATTCTTTGTTACATTTATACTGTTTCTGATCAAGTAGCCTAATCATTAAACCGTTGTTCAGCCGCAGAAAATAAAACGACGCAGGATTTTCGAGCAATTTCGTGGAATATGTAACTTGTATGGATTTGTATGGCTGGATAATTGTAGCAGGCGCTGGGGGTTCAAAGACGCAATCATCTTTCTCTCGCCGTAGGAAATGGCTTCTGCAAATGGTTCTCCACTTTTCTCTCATAGTGCTTATCCTGTACGGCGAATGCACTGCAGGTGATTTCTTTTTTGAATTGTCAATCAGAGAAGGTGCTTCCTGTAACTTATATTATTCTTTTGCATGTCTTAAGTGTAAATGGAAATATGAACAGAATCTTTATTATCTTATATATTTTTCTATATAAATTAAATATTACTGCAGTTCACGAGTCCAGTTTGTGCAATGCATATTCGCAACAACAATACATCCCAGAACAGAAATTTTGTTTTTTATATAGAGATTACTGCTTTTATTTTGAGACATATTTTGTAAGTTATTTTTCAGCCAACCCAGTGCTGAAGTTGGATCGGACACATTACATTATGTCTGAGGGGAAAAAATATGAACACAACTACGAAACTCCAACCACTCTTTAAATCAGATCTTGAGTCAGATCTTGAGTCAGATCTTGAGTCAGATCTTGAGTCAGATCTTGAGTCAGATCTTGAGTCAGATCTTGAGTCAGATCTTGAGTCAGATCTTGTGTCAGATCTTTCAAGTTCATAAGGGCTTGAGTCAACTTGGGAACCCCACATTTCAGGTGATACATCACTGCATATCACAGCTCATAACTGCATATCACAGCTGATCACTGCATATCACAGCTCACCACAACCATATTTGGGATTCAAACCTTTTTGCGAATAACTGCTTCGAGACGAGAGGTCCACCAATATATACGATGTTCCTGGAGACGCCAGAGAATCTTTTAATGGATGGGTTTGTGCTTTATACAGCAACATGGAGAAACAGGAGGAACCAGACAGTAGAATACTCCACAGGGGGCCAATGACCAGATCCACATGGGACCTGGGAGTTAGTTTGAATTAGGCAGAGTAAACAATACCTCATTCTGGCGTGAGGTCAGCAGGACACAGGAAAAAGATGGTCTGGAATGAGATATGCCTTTGCCGAATAGAGATATTTGTATTTACTTGAATGCAGGCTGAACGACGAAATTGTCAACATCAGACCTCTGTGAGGAGACAATTTCTCTGTCTCTGCACCGCAGTCTTTAATCTGTCCCTTTTAAGCGCACAGAGCCCTTGCAGACTGAATACTGAAAGAACATTAAGGCAAACCGATTGCTACGGTTTCTAGTGTCTTAAGTGTGGAAAATAAAATCTGAATGCTACTGTCGTAAATTACTTTTTGGCCAATGCAAAGTCATAGATATCGGTGAAACAGCATCTAATTCTGATTCTAATTGCACGCTGTACAGCTTGTGGGACCCACCTCACTGCCAGTGGCGTAAGGAAAGGCGAGGTTACCAAGTGCCCTATGTGGAGGTGGTGAGATGACACAATCACTCCCAGCAGGCAATAGCAGTCACGTACGCATACTAAAGCCCCCAGTTTGGACAGATCTAGGGTGAAACCAAATATGCCGACGCGTCTGTGGGAATTCATGTGCGGTTCCATTACGATTGATGACGAAGAACAGGATGTCCTAAGATGGAGTTTGAAAAGTTCTGAAATATATTGGTAATTGTAAACCATTTGCCGTGTCCAAAGCAGCTGGCGAATTGTGACTTTATTACGTTCCCAGCCCTGAAGAAAGCCTTTAAGGGGCCGTAGCTTAGAAAGGAACACAGTGTCCCACCTCACACTATGCAAGAAACCAGCAAGGCATTTACATTTGCAGTCATCTATTTGAACTTTGCTGTGAAAAATGTAAGAAGCCGTTTTCATGTAGGGCTTCTGTCTAGTATCGTAACTTAATGGCAGTGCAATCTTACTTAATGTCTATGAAAAAGAACAACTCTTTCCAATGCCGACTTCACAATCATCATCAATAATAAACAATAGTACTCCCAAGAAATACATTTTTCATATGAAGTTTGCTCTTTTCCCATTATCTTATGTGTCTTCCGTTTACCACCATTTACACCAAGGGAGTTGGTGCCTAATATCTCAGTTAGCTAGCTCGCTTGACGTTGAAATGGACCATAAAAGGTAATTTTCCCACTTAGTGATTCTGGTAAAATATTCTACAAAAGGATCTAGCTGACTAGCTGAAATGAATGTTTGTTGTGATTGCTTTATTTCAATTTACTGGGTTTCGTACAGAATATCCAGTTCTCTGCAGCGTGGTTTTGGAAACGGACGAAATATTCAGATGTGTATTTATTTAGTCCTTTCTTTTGAGTCTCTGCTTCTCTTCTGATGCACACCATCAGATCAGCTTCCGTTGGACGCGTTCACGGATCTATACGTACATGAAACAGTGATGCCATTCCACTACCTGGCTGTGATTGTGTTCAGCTTGCTACACTTCTTTTTCAATTTAGTTTTTTGTCCCATGTAGGTCACAATTTGAGTAATATTCTTTTTTTAATGACTACGTGCCGACTTTGTAGAAAGCGATATCTACACAATCTATATGCTGTTGCTCAGCTATGTCTCCCCGTTTCCTGTCAAGGTCCAACCTTATCTTTGTCTGCTCTGGGGGCGGTTCATTAATCACCCAGTATCCAATCAGATGGTGAGGGATGCTGGGCGTGGCCTTGTCCACTTCCCACTCCAGATCTAGTGCCCGATTATGGCTGTAAAAAACATGCCGGTCTCCACATTTCTCCCTCATGGGCTCTCTATGCCAACCTTGTGCCCATGGTTATTTACCAAAAGCCGTTTCTTGTTTATAAGTAATGTGCAATAAATTCATAACCCTTATGTGTGGGCTATGGGTAGGGTAAGGGCTGTTCTGATTAATGCCTTTCCTAGATGTTTCCTGAGGCACATCTTACATTAGGACTTATCATGCAATGATATATGATCCGGACAGAGTTTTGAGGCCCTGAATTTGCTGGCTGATTGCTGACACATTGCATTGTCTTGGTTCCTGTTGGACCAACACTGCAGTCTCAATTATTATCTCTTCACCGTTGAGTAGAGCGGACATGTGTCTTGCGGTGACTGAGTGCCAAATTCAAAGATGTCACAAATTGGAATGGTTGGGCGGCAGAGGGGTTTGGTCGAGATGAGGGGGAGGATGGAGGGACTGAGGGAATATAAATAGTTTTTTTTTCTGGTAGCAGCGGGAAATAAATGACACAGAGATGAAACAAATCATCCGTCTGTAGCCCCGGCCGTTAGCCAATCCATAGTAATCAGTGTGACTGTATTGAGCTCTCTACTTCATGGGCCCTTACCAATCAGCAAAGAAAACACAGATCTGTCATCCATTTTCTTCGGCTCACTGAAAGAATCAAGGGAACTTTAAGCTGAGAGAACGAGAGAGAGAGAGAGAGAGAGAGAGAGAGGGGAATTGTTGCCGGAGTGTGTGTTTTGTGTACAGCGTCAGTTCAAGTTTAGATTGTCTCAAAATTCGAGTTAACTCTCGACTAAGTGATACATGGGGTATGTTTTGCTTACACCAGTGTAACAGAGCTAATTTGTGGCCTTTTGGTGATCATTGACGCAGAAACAGTGCCCTCTAGGCAGCGATTAGTGCATTGATCAGGGCAATGCCAGGCAATAAATGGATCTGCTGGTGACGTCAAATCAAGTCTTGTGATGAAATCAGTTTTATAAACCAGTACCTTAGACAACACCCCGCCCAACACAGCATTCAACATGGTGCAATAAACCACACAGCATTTGTCAACTATGTACATTAAACTTGTTTTGCGGGATGTTTTTTTAAACCGGTAAAAAAATAGACACACAATGGTCACGACATTTAATCCTTTTGACTTTGGAGGAAGCATCCTTGACATGCTATTAGTATAATAGTGTATTAGGCACGCAACGCTGTTCGAAAAAATGTCTTGTGCCATAGTGACAGTAAGGCCCGTGGCCATGTGATGCTATATAAAGCCGGTCGACGGACGTCAAAACAAGTGACCTCGAATGTGGCAGGATAGTCAACACTGTTACAAACGCTAGGGTGAACGCTAGGGTGCCCACTGGGGGGGGAGGGATTTAGTGGGGGGCACTTCCTTTTTTTCGGTGGTTTGTTTTGATTACACACACCAGGGCATAGTTAGCAATTAGCTGGGATATTGAAGTCACTGGGGAATGACACAAGTTGCTTCTCATTATTTCAATGATTTTCTTTCTTTTTTTATTCAACCCGGTAGGCCGATTGAGAACAAATTCTCATTTGCTGCGGCGACCTGGGGAGAAGCTGGGGATTTAACCCAGAACATCATGCATACGAAGCATGCACTCTACCACAGAGCTATACCAACTCCAACTAGTCATCGTTCTATCTAGGTGAGTGCTGTTGCTGTTGATACGTGTTGCTGTTTTTATGAAATTAGCAAGTCGCTACATTTCTCATTTTAATTTGAACCGGTGAACATTTTTAGCCGTTCTCGGTTTGTTTTCTTCTAATAAACATTGAAAGTGTATCCTGTGTCCAATGCAAGCTGATAGACTGGCATGAACTAGCTCACACACACACACACACACACACAGTGGTGCAGGAAACGACATGTTGGAACGAGCGATTTGGCAGGGCGGTGGTTAGACTGACCAGCGGGGCAATGCCAGCCCAAATTGAATTGTGAGCCTCTCTCAAAAGCATAACATCAACATTCTAAAGGAATTACAAACCAATCAAAACTGGTATGAAATGAATTTTTATGAAATAATTTGACACGATTTACCATGGCCAACCAAACCACCAATAACCCTCTATTAACCATTTATGGGCTGTGGCATTTTGCGAATATAGGCAAGAACGGCTTTGAATTGAATTGTGACATTGTGACGCCCTCCTCGTCGACACATATTTCATGACAACAAAATGTTTTAAGGTAATTTTACATGCCGGGCAATGTTTTTAAAGCCTATTATTTTAAAACAGGAAGAATGAGATGTGCTTTCGTGTGTTGTGTTTAGAACATGCCGATTGGTTCGATTGATGGGTCTTTTGATTGGCGCTTGTGTTTCATGAGTACGTTATTGGAGTGAAGAGAAAGTCTATCAAGAAGAGTATGAGTAATTTAGGTTGGTGCGAAGAGGTTTCCAAAACGTAGAAATGGAGGCCATCTGTCATGCTCTAAATTTGATCTTATTGCTCAGCCAAATGCTCTGGGCACACACTGTCTGGAGTTTGTGTCTGATTCTTCAGATTTTTCTGCTTTGATAGCCTGCTTTAACTTTGGACTCATCGAATTGTTTAGGGCTTTTTTTTTTTTTACGACAGTTTCACATTGTTCGAATAATAGTGAAGACATTAAATCAGAAATAACGCACAAAGAAATCATTGTTAACCAAAAAACTGATATAAATGAATGTTATATTGTGTTTTCTTCGGCACAGCTGTCATCAAGGGAAAGGGTGGCTTCTTTAAAAAATATAACATTTCAATGTACTTTGATTTCTTTCAATGTACTTTGATTTCAATGTACTTTGATTTTAATATACAACATGAAAATTGTAAACATTTAGAAATACAAAATTCAGTAATGTGTTCAAACCAGCGAAAGTGCTTATGTTGTTCCGTGAACTTTAAGTGCAAGAAAGTAGTTAAATTCATGATCGTCGGCCTGTCAGTTTGGATGTTACAGTCTTAAATTAACCTTTTTGTCCTTTAATCAAATGTTTGCCACGCTGCATCAAAATGAAGGTTCAGTTGAAAACATCTGATCAGTATAGCAAGTGGCAACAAAAGTATATGAAAACCGGAGTGGCCCTAGAATTATCCGGAGAGACTGTGGCAGGGTTGGTTTTATAAATGCCAAGTGCCAGTCTGCCGTGTCTGTTAGTCAGATAGGCGTGAAACCACTGGAGTGTTGGGCCAGAGAATGCCTTTAATCCAGACACCCAGGCAGACCAGTAACTAAAGCGTTGGACCAGTGACTGAAAGGTTGCCGGTTTGAATGGCAAGGAGAGAACGAATTCAAACATAAAATAATTGGCAAGCGCTAACAAGTTATTTGGTACTTATACAAGGCTATAACTTTGATTAGAAGCCAGAGGGCTCAGGCAGTATGTTGATTGAGAGGTACTTCTGAAGCTGCATTGAGGAAAGAACTTCAAGGAACCTAATTTACATGGGCAAGTTTGAAATTGAGCAGCATTTGCTGAAGGGGTTGAAGTGCAGTGAATTCTTTTGATGGATTTGGTCTAGTAATGATCCAATATATATATTTGGTGTAATCTAGTAATGATCCAATATATATATTTGGTGTAATCTAGTAATGATCAAACATATATATTTGGTGTAATCTAGTAATGATTCAACATATATATTTGGTGTAATCTAGTAATGATTCAACATATATATTTGGTGTAATCTAGTAATGATTCAACATATATATTTGGTTTAATCTAGTAATGATCCAATATATATATTTGGTGTAATCTAGTAATGATTCAACATATATATTTGGTGTAATCTAGTAATGATCCAATATATATATTTGGTCTAATCTAGTAATGCTACAATGTATATATATTTGCATAATCTAGGCAGTTTCAGGGAATAAAGTACAGTCGTTCATTATTTTGGTCCCAATGGACTGAGAAGTAACACGCTGAAGGTTATGAGTGAGGTAGGAATTGGGGTCCAGGAGCAATTAGGTCTTGGAGCAATTCAGAGACGGTTGTTGTGGTTGTCAATAGGAATCTTGTCAAACATCAGCTGGGGGGCTCATTATTTATTTATTGAATTATTTATTATGTAACACATGGGCAGGTCCTAATTAAGGGGCTGGACTGAACGATGTGTAGTTTGCAGGAGGACTTGCAGAGCTTCTTTTGGTTCTGTCTGAAAGTATAATAGGACCTTGGTCTACACAGTTGGATTTGCTCTCCTTACCATCCCTAAAGTTTATGTCCGTCAACTTTCTTGGATCGCTGTTAAAACATCTCCCAATTATCATTGGGCAAAGTTGCCAAGAACTGTGCATAATCGCTGATTTTGTAGTTAATCTGCCATATGAGGTGATCTCGACAGTGTCGTGAGTAATTGCACATTAGGTAATACTTCTGCAAATCATCTTGGACTGATTTGATTCCGGGATCATTTATTTTTAGACACAGGGCTGGTATCGGGTTAGCGACAAAATCAGCTGCTATCAGCAAAAATCGTTTTAAAAAAAACATTTTGAATCGATGTTCAAAAACATGATGCCGCGACTGCTCACAATTAGCGTCGTAACTGTAATAAAAGTAGCAGAGATCACAGTCTGAACCTTTTATACTTTAAAAATCAGTGGTTTTGCAATCTTTGGTAAATATTGCTTTTCCTGCCTCCTCCTGTAGCTTTGTTTAAACATGATAATGAGTGATATATAACCGTGTTGGTCTTCCATCAAGTAGTGAAATGACAGCCATTGGCCCCGTGGGGACTGGCCTATTGATCCCCGTTCAATGTGTCTCTCTTAGTCACGCACACCGTCTCCTCTCGTAACGGAGCAGGACAGAACGTGCGCGTGAGTGAATGAAACCGGATTTTAATGTCGACCGAAAGAGAGAGAGATGTAACCACGTGGAGAAACGGATGTACTCCTGCTCAGAGAGAGAGAGAGAGAGAGAAATAATGCCTAATTATTTTTAATTGACTTAATGTCAGCTAGTGAATTACAGTGGGTGCTTTTGAAAAGCATAATGTTGTTCCCATTTTCTTTGAATTTGACCGTGCATTACTGTTGAGAGTGGCACGCTCAAGTTGAACTTTCCTTTGTTTACCTGCAAGCTTGTAGGAGCTACGGGCATGAACAGGTTTTCCTGATGTTACACGTATACATTTTTTGGCACGGGATAGAAATATATTGCAAAGTAACGTATGTGATACTGTATGTATAGAATGTTTAGCAAAGAGCTGGACTTGATTGTGTGTTTTCTTCTGGACTGTAGCTTGATGAGTATTACCGGACAATCGCCAATAGTAGATCAAAATCTGAAACAAGAGACATTTCAAGAGACGTTCTCTCTCCAACATCTCCCTCCATCTAACTCGATTTTCCCATCGCTCTCCCCCTCTCTTTCTGCCACCTTCTCTTTAACTTCCTCCACACATCTTAAATGCCAGTTTCTCTTTCTCTCTATCTCTCTCTCTCTCTCTCAAAGGCTTTGTCTCTCAATCTGTCCTTGTCTGCCACTAAAAGCTGAGGAAATAAATAGAGGTCTGACTGAGTTTTTGTTGTGGCCCCCCAGGAGCAGAGTTTGCTCTCTCAGCAGTGACACCTCCGACAGCACTCTCTCCATAGGCCTCTATTGATCAGCACAGCTATTGGCATAATCCCTGTGAATAAAATGCTGCTCTATTGACTCCAAATCCCTGCTGATGTTTAGAATGGAGAGACGTAACCTTTTGCATCTCGGCTTTGTGCACTTCTATTCAAGTCGCCCCCCATAAGAACCTAGCTACCTTGCAGAGGGGAACGGATAGATAAACTGGAAATGTCACAATGTGGAGTTGAAGTACAGCCTCTCACAAAAAGACCAGTTTCTGCAGCAGACCGTAAGATCAATTATTAAAATTATTTATACAACCAAGGGCAGGTCAAACTGTGTAACCGTTTGACTCGGTTGTGATGAAATCCAGGAGAGACGAAGGCTTGACTTGTGCATTTAGTTACACTCCCCTTGATAGACCGCGAACACCCTTGACATTTGAAATAATTGGCAGAAGGAAAAAACACAACGTACAGATTCTCAGCGTACAGAATGTGCATCGTTTTCTTTAAGAACAAGCATTATATATTCTCGTGACTTAAGAACGGTGTGCGAGGAGGGAAATGACCTCTCTATACTTTCGATTTCAGAACAATTTCAACTTCCTAGAAAAAGAAAGATTGCTTCAGTAATCTCAGTAAGTGTTGCAAATGATTATAAATAGGGAATCCATTTAGTTCTTCTCAGTAATAAACCGGTAGCCTTTTTCTCCACCGCCATAAGGAACTGCTTTTATCATTTCACCCTTATCTCCCTGAGCCTCAGAAAGACCGTAGGTAGTCAAGTAATTTCCCATATATCGTTTCTTTATTTAGTAATTTCTTTATTTAGTAATTGATTTGTGTATTAATCTATGATCTATGTATTTAATATTAAATTGCACACAGTTCTTTTTCATTCGTTCGTTCAGCTTCTGTGACGTTACTGTTTCTCAGTGGTCCTTTGTTTTCTGCCTGGCTGGAATATAGGGCAGTACAGTTTGAGTGCTCTTGTCTGAGACGGTCTGTGTGCTGCTGTTGCGTAGCAGTTTTTTCCGGCAGCTCGCAGGGTTGAGGAGACC